TCCTATTACTGTACTGGAGATGATCTTCGTTTTGAGCTTAGCGGTTCTTGGTGACCTGGCATGTAGTTTTGTATATGTCCTTTAAGTGAAACGCATGCCTATACAAACCTCATAAAGGATCTGGTAAATAATTTAATCTGATTCAACCTCACTCCTTAGTTCCTTAATCTTTCCTTTGATCTTTTCTTGTTTTTTGATTTTTTAATTTTTTTAAGTGTTTCCACTGATCCTTATCTATTATTCTAATGTTGTTAATCTTGTTACGTTACTGCTATTATGTGTTTGTTTCTGTTTCGTTATATTGTGTGCCACCTTAGCTTTCCTTTGACATTAAAAAAACCTTTGTTTTCAGGCAAAACTGTAAAAATTCCCTCAACCTCCGTATCGAGATACGAGATTTTCTCGTCCGCTCAAGGATCTTCTGACGCTGCTTGTAAATCAATTCAAGATCCGTCTGTCTCATCCTCAACCTCCTTAACTAAAGGAGATGGCTGCAGCAGTGAGCAAGATGATCAAGCTTCCGACAGCTGGGTGACGTTATCACATGACTGGTTGGAGCCTGAAGTTGATTTGCAAGCCTCATCTTTGCATAATCCAAGCTTGCTAAAGTCTTCTTCTCCTTCCTACTCTGCTTCTCTTCCTGTCGCTAATCAAGGCATAACTCCAGGCTTTTTGACTTGCAACTCAACCAATCAAGATTTGAGTGCCATACAGGAAAACTGTAAGCATTCTGGTCCATCCTCTGGGTCCATCCCTCCAATCCCCAACGCTTTGGCTTCCAGTCCTTCTACTATAGTCTTAAGTTCGTCCTACTCAGAAGATTTAGTCAATCCGAGTGCCTTGGCCTCATTCTCAGTAACATCTTCGACCAAACATTCGCCCTCTGACGATCGGTGTAAAGACAAATTTAAAAACGCGGTGAGTATGGATATTTTATAAAGCCTGGTTTTGAGGAACTTATATAACCATATGCTTTGTGATTTGTGACTGTCAGCTTCAAATTCATACTATATTTGTTTGCCTAGATTTATCAGAGAAGACATATTTCAACACTAGTAATAATTAATTAATAGATAGAAAATACGCACTTAACAGAGTTTAAAATATATGGAAGTTGTTTAACCATGTTTTCGCAACTTGGTCATATTGGTAGGAACTTAGAGGAACACACCCAGCCCGGAGTCCATTGTATGTATGATAATTTCCAGTCGGACTGTGGACGTGTTACATTCCCAGACGTTTCGCCGACATCATAGTCGGAATCGTCAGTGAGCCTTGCCATTTTTAGTACCATACTACAACTCGTCAAAGAGACAAGTTAAGCCTATCCTTTGACCAAATGTGTGTGTGGTATCTCTCCCTCTCTACCGGGCTATTCACCTCTCCTATTTACTCGTATCACGCCTTCACTTACAATTTATTTGTCTCCGTGCTTATTTAAATGTAGTGTTGTGTTTCCTTTTGAGCGGCTTTAATGAGAACCCTCCAGATTCCATGCTGGCATTCTTACCCCCCTTCATCCTTGTACTGGGAATGCTGATCAGTCTGCCATATTGTTACGCCATCCTCCTTCCCTAGGTCTTATCAGAGTCTTCCTCTTGCCCCGTAGGATCCGTCTGCTATCTTCCTGATTCAAGTATTTCACTCGACCCCTGTCACCCCATCTGTGCTACTCGAGGCGTTATTTCCTACACTCTGCCTCTGGGCGACTAACTTGAGGCTAAAGCCCCTGAGTAATTCTCATGGTCAAGTTATTGCTTCATGAACCACGTGTATGGTAAAACAGGACTACTGTCAGCCAACTAGCTCCAGTCTTCGCCGCGTCTATCCTGTTTCTATCCTTAATACCAAGTCTATGGCTTGCCATGCCCTAGCCTCTTGCGTGTCTACCCAAAAATGTCGTGGTTAAACATTGAACCTAATCAAAGCAAGCAGTACCACAACATTTGTGGGTTGGCATACAGGAGACTATAGCATAGGAAGTCAAAGACTTGGTATTACGAATAGAAACATAATAGACGCGGCGGGGACTATAACTAGTTGGCTGACAGTATGCCTGTTTCCTCATAGACGTGATCCATGAAGCATAGGCTTGACCATGATAACTACTTCAGGGCTTTAGCCTCAAGTTAGTCTAGCAGACTTAGTGTGGGAAATAACGCCTTGTGGAGCACAGATTGGGTGACAGGGGTCGATTGAAATACTTGCACCAGAGAGATAGCAGACGGATACTACGGGGCAAGAAGGAGACTGATAAGACCTAAGGAAGGAGGCTTGCGTAACAATATGGCAGAATTTGATCAACATTGCTAGTACAATGATGAAAGGGGGTGAAAACTCCAGAGTAGAGTGTGGAAGGTACTCATGAAAGCCACTCAAAAAGGCACACTACACTACATTCAAATAAACAAGGAAATGGGATAAGAGGGTAAAGATAAGATAGATAGGCCAAGACGGAAAG